CTCGATCCAAAATGTTCACTTCCACAACACCAGACTTCATCAAGTAATCCACATTGGAGTTCGCAACATCAGCAACCCAGCCAGCCTCAGCTTTCCTCACCCTCTCGAGGGGACATGGCACACGTGACTGTAGAGCCTCCACTGAGGGATAGAGAGTGTGGTCAAAATCAGATATGAGGACCGCGGTGAAGTCCGGCACCCCGGAATAAAGCGAAACCTTGCTTTTTTTCGGTTGCAGCTGAGCGTCTGTGTTCAACAGCGATACCACTCGTGCTAGAACTTCCCGTGCCTTGCCTTCGGTCACCAAGTCTCTGGCGATCGCTTCAAGACACTTCCAGGAATTGGATGGAACCGACAAGATTTCCGTCGCGACAGCTGCATACGCGTGCGATCTCAGCTCTTCTTCCGTCGGAAGACTGCTGTTCTCGAAATTCTGTTTGGTCGTTTCCATGATCTTTTGCATCATAGGCCAATCACTCTTATCATACAATGTAATGACCTCGCCCTCGTCACCGGCCCTTCCCGTTCGCCCGGCCCTGTGCACATACGCTGTGGGGTCTTCAGGTGGTCGGAAGAGGATGACGTACTGGAGCCCTGGTAGGTCTATCCCGCGACTGAGTAAGTCTGTCGTGACCAGAAAGCGAATCCTTCTACCACGGAAAGAGTTGAGCAACCAGTCACGTTGACTTTGGGGCATTTCCGAATGTAAAGGTTTCACCCCGAGACCTTCCACTGCAGGGTGCCGGGCAATAGCAAGAGCCTCCTTGGTGGTGTTCGCAAAGATGAGCGCCTGACTGTCCGCTGCGAGGCCTCGGAGAACATGGCACAATCCTCGATAACGAGTGAGGTTAGCACGCTCAGGGAGACGAATCATCCTGTGGATAGTCGATCGGACTGTTGCTGGCTGACGGTAACCTGACAACGATGGACTAGAACGTTGTTGTTGCTATTATCAACTAAGTTCAGGGTAGTGGTACTCGGATACCGGTCTCAAACCTATGAGGCTCGTGGCCCTATGGCAAATTGTGTCATCGCGTCTTCACTACTCCACTAAGTATATTTTCCCCAAAGAGACGATTCGACTGGAGCTGGGAGCTTTCAAGGGACACCTTTGATTCTATCAGAATGGACAGAGTTTACAGTCCGTACAGCGACACTTACTGAAACCACTGGCCACAAGATCCACCTTCACTGAATTAGCTCCACCAATCTCGGACACCTTCCTCACGACCACATCCGACATCGATGCCGAAAATACCACAGTCTGTGGCGAAAACGGCT